ACAGCGCGAGGAGGGGGAGGGGAGCCGACGAGCTGGGGCCTCGGGTGGGGTTGGGGGAGGGGAGCTCGGAGAGGGGACCCTGGCGCCGAGAGCCGAGCCGCGATGGTGAGGGCGGCCGTGGGTGTTGTGGTTGCATTGTGTGTCAGTGTGTGGTTGTGTGACTGTGGCCCGGTGGCTGCGAAGGTGGCTTCGGGTGTGTCCACGAGCGTGTGGCCGTCTCCTGTGGCGGCCGTCGTGTGGCTGCTGGGGCGGGTATCACTGTTGCTGTGCGTGTGGTCGCGATGTGGCTTCCTTGGGTGGCCGTGTGACTGCTTTCACTGTGTGGCTGGCGTGGTGTCGGGACGGCCGTGTGCGTCTGACTGTCGTGTCGTGGCTGCTGTTGTGTGTTCATTCTGACGGTGGCCGGGTCTGCACACTGGCAGGTGTGCCCTTCTCGTGTGGCTGTGTGTGTGTGTGTGTCACGCTGCATGTATGTGCTCTGTATAACGCGTGTCTCCCATGACTGTCAGCGTGGCCGAGCGACTGTTAATGTGTGTGGCTGTCACTGAGTGCCGGGTGGCTGGGGGTGTGACTCTATGACCAGTTCGCTGACTCCCATTGTGTGAGGTGACGCTGCTGTGACTCGTGTGTCGGCCAGGTGAAGGTCCGCTTTGTACAGGGTCCCTCTGACGTGTGTGTGTGTGTCTGTGTGAGGGGGAACGCGTTAGATCTGCGTGGGCGTCCTTGACGGGCGTTGTGTATGTGCGTGTGAGTGTGGTGATGAGTGTCGTGGGTGTTGGGGACCTGTGTGAATGAGCGGGGCCTGTCTTGTGCACTGCGAGGCAGGTGCCCCACACAGGATGCCTGGTCGTCATTGTGATGAATGGCGTGTGTGTGCGCGCGCGTGTGTGTGGTGTCTGGGATGAAGATCTAGCTAAGTTCCATGCACAGGGCAGCCCCGGCATTGGTGACTGGGCATCTAGGACTTTTGGTGACCCTCACCCTCTGTATCACTCTACAGAGTAACCTGTGCATGGAGCACCGGACAAAGAGAGCCTACCCTCACCTGCCTGGGCCTCAGCTTCCCTACCTACACGATGGAGGTGACCGTCCCCGCCCCGCTGGCCGCAGGCAGCGGCTGTGAGTCTGTGGTGGTGGGCGCGGCCTGTAAGAAGCCCTAGGGCGCCTTCACAGGTGAGATCAAGGGGGACAATGGGGGTCAGAAGGTGCCGCGGTGCGGTGGTGCGCTGAAGTTGGAGTTGAAGGGTTGGGTTGAATTTAGCGAGGGAGGCAAACAGGCTGGAAGCAGGGGGAGGAGGCCCTGGCTCTCAGCCCACACCGGACACCACGTCTGAGAGGACAGAGGGGGTCCGCCTGAGGGCTGAGGGGAAGGGGTCTCCACGTGGCTGCTGGAATCTCTTGTCAAGGCCGAGGAGGAGGGGTCCTCCTAAAACGCCTGGGTCACAGTCTCCTTGCAGGCTGCAGAGGGAGGGGATCACTACAGCATCTCCGGAGTTCCAGAGGAGGCTGGGCAAGCGGTGTCAGGCGTGGGGTCCCGCCCAGGGCCAACAGGGCAGGACCCGGATTGAAGAGGCGTGGCCACAAGGCTTGAGGGGCGGAGCCAGAGCTGCGGGGCCCGAGCAGGCAGTCACAAGGCTCAGGGACGGGGCCAGGGTCCCCATGGCCTGCCTGGAGTGCCCACCCCTCCGCGCCTTCGCAGGCCCAGCCTTCACCATGGCAGGAGGGAGACCGCACCTGAAAAGGAGCTTCTCCATCATCCCCTGCTTTGTCTTTGTGGAGGTGAGGACCTCAGGACCCTTCCCAGAGGGAACACACCTGTCTTCCCAACTCTGTCCACCCCCAGACCCTCCTCCCCCGTAACCATTCTCCACCTCACTCCCTGTCACCTCCCCCTGCTGTCCTCTTTCTCTGGAGAAGTGGCTGGGGCTCGGGAGTGAACCTGGTGCCCCA